TTTTTCCATCCTTTTTTGTTCTAATGTAGTTAATCAATTCTTCTGTGAAATTCCACAATTGTTAAAACTATCCTGCTCTGGATTAAATCTACTTGAGGCTGGAATTCTTGTGGCCAGTAGCATTGCTGGACTAGGTTGTTTTACTTTTATACTTGTATCATATGCAGTGATCTTCAAGGCAGTGTTTAGAATCCCTTCTGAACAAGGAAGGGAAAAAGCTTTATCCACCTGTATTCCCCACCTCACAGTAGTGACTATTTTCTTTTTAAGTGGATGCTTTGCCTGCCTGAGACCTGCCTCTAACACCCCATCTTACTTAGATTTGGGGTTGACTGTTCTGTATTCACTTCTTCCACCTCTGTTCAATCCAATTATTTATAGCATGAGAAATAAAAATATCAAAGGTGTTCTTTCTCAACTGTGGAGATTTTTATAAATTCTTTTAATATTGTTTATATTCTCTTCACCATAGTTTTTCCCTACTTCTGTGAATAAAAGAATATGGTAGAAAGGGATAGTTTGGATGCAGCAAATGTGAAGTAGGGCAAAGTGGAGGGATTCAGCATCCCAGAAATTGCTGTGTCTCGAGATAATATTCTGCCCCACTGTCTTTAACCACTTAAGCCATATCCTGTTTTTTGCTTTGCTTAGTAGCCAGTTCTCTATTTTTTTCACTCTGTGCTAATGTTCAACTGTCTGGTATTTTTCCAGAATGCTTAGAATGCAGAACTACGAATGTTTAGAATATTACCATATATGGGATCCAGAGGGGTCAGGAAATGCATACGTTGTATGAACTATATATGTGATCTCTGAACACTCCTCGGGAGTGTTCACCTTTTACAGTTGCTAAAGATCTATGTTTGCAGCTATGGCATTCCACAGGCTGACAATTCCTGTTGTTTAGTGAAGTGAGGTATAGAGTGTAATGCAATTGGTGGTTTGAGATGTTTTATATCAAAATATATTTTATTTTATACTATTTAGATCTTCCCTTAAAACAATAAAAGAATGGATTGAGAATCAGTATCTCTACCAGATAATTGACAGTCCAGTTGAAACTATTTTTTTTAGAAAAAGCAAAAATGTTTTGGTTTTTTTTTGGGGGGGGGGGAATCTTTTATTCAAACTTCTTCAACCCACCAAATAAGTTCCCCAAATCTAATCCACATATCAAAGAACATTGTAAACATAAATAGAATTAATTAAATTAGGTCTCCCAGCAGAATTGCATCCATCTCACAGTTACTGACATTGAGCCAAGTTCGACCTAGTCTACACCTGTACGGTTGATTATTTTTGCCTAAGTGTAGAACCTAACTGTTATCTACAATAAATTTCATTTTGTTATATAGGGCCTAGTGTTCCTATATTTGGATTTTGAGCCTATCTTCTTAAGTGTTGGCTGTTCCTACGAGCTGGTGTCATCTGCAAATTTGATGACTTCTATTCCTTCTTCTAGATCATTTATGAAGATATTGAAGAGTATTGGGCCTAGAACTGAACCCTATCCCTAACCCTAACCCTTGGTAGCCCACTAGTTACTTTCCTCTGTGTGGACTATACACCAGCGGTGGGATTCAAATATGTGAACAACTGGTTCTCTGTGTGGATGCCACTTCCAGAAGTCCATTCTGGGCCTGGTCAATAAAAAAATAGCTACTGGTTCTTCCAAGTGGTGCGAAATGGCTGAATCAGCCAGTTACAAATCCATCTGGTGATGATGTTGTCTATCCACAAATTATGTAACAGGAATGGTACTTTCATCATAATACTTCTGTACTGAGGTTGTCAAAGTGATCATTCTTGCCTAAGGACACTGCTGTTTTTGTTTCTACCTGCTTAGCCAAACATGAAGAGGTCAATTAGTGGTTTTATTGATCAAGCCTATACAAAGGAATCTTCTCAGACTGATGGTTGATATCTGGGTGAGAGTAGATAAGGTGCAACAATATTCAAAAGGGTCTCTCTCTCTCTCTCTCTCTCTCTCTCTCTCTCTCTCTCTCTCTCTCTCTCTCTCTCTCTCTGTGTGTGTGTGTGTGTGTGTGTGTGTGTGTGTGTGTGAGAGAGAGAGAGAGAGAGAGAGAGAGAGAGAGAGAGAGAGAGAGAGAGAGAGAGAGAGAGAGAGAGAGAATTTTTTCTTATTCTGCCAATATTGACTCATATGATACCTCCCCTGGCTCAGCCAATCTCTCTCCTACATTAACAGAGTGTATGAACCTTGTGTTTCCTAATACAGGCTGTTCCCCAGGGATCTTCATTTTATTTCATTTTCTAGCTATTTTTCCATACATCCCAGTCAAAGCTGAGGAACTGTCAGATACAGAATGTCAGCCATTCCACAATCTGCCCCAGGGATCTTCTTATGTTTGTATCTTACTTTGTATGTTCCTTAAAACATTTAGGATTATTGTGTAATGCTTGTGATTTTTTTTATTTGAATAAAAACCACTGTTTAACTATATGGAAATTAGATGTAGAAAAATTATCATCAACAAAGTAATTTCAAATCTGTCTGTATATCAATAAAATAAATGGATATTTAGAATATTTCTGAATGTCTTTTCAATTTTAAACATTAACGTATTATTGAAAATGTGGATCCACATTGTTGAAAAAAATGCTGTCAGAGTTCATAGTTGTAATAGGCTGCATCTCAGTTTGTGGCCAAACTCTTCTGGCAGAAATAGAGCTTTCTACTTGATGGGGGACTGCTTTTTCAAATTGAGCTATCATTTTCCCCTCTGATTGTTGAAAGGGGAGATTTATTAATTCATTCTGTGAATATCTGATTTCTTTTAAAAAATATTTTCCAGTGTGTTTATTACATATACTACCAGCTAGTGGATATCAAGATAAGAGTTATGTTGTAAGTAAAGTTTTTTTCTTGTATTTATTATATATCATTAAATCCATGTTTAAGAATCTAGCATTTATGTATTAGATTTATTGTTATATTTATTTGTCAGATTTACATTGTTTTTCTTCTAGAAGCACAAAGCACCATACATAGCACATCCTCCAATTTTCCAACACAATTACAATCTTGTACAAGTAGTGAGAGATTTTGACTGGTCCAAATATTCCCAGTAAACTTCCAGGGCTAAAAGTTGACTTCAACAAGGTTTTCCAAATCATAGGTAATCCTTTTGATCAAGACACAAAATAACCAAACTGGAAGTATGAAAGAATGGGAAATATGAGGTTAGTTGTTGGTTATTTAGTACAGGTGGATTACAAATGAATAGAACTTAGTAAGAGAGTACTCTAATACTCTATTATGCCCATCCTAAGTTCATTTTTTTCATGGTCTGTTTCTAGATTCATTCTGTTCATGCTTTATATTTATTTTTGTTTACTGTTCTCACCACATATCAAAATGCCACACATCTAACTGCATATCTCTCCTCTGTTTCCTTGCAGCTTTGTCCTAAATGAAAGATGAGTAATAAAACCATTTCTTACTTTTCCTGCTGGAATTCTCAAAAAATCAGCACATGCAGTTTTTACATTTTTTCTTGTTCTTGTGTTATATCTGGCAACTGTAGCAACAATTCTTCTAATTATCTCTGCAGTAGCTTTGGATCATCAACTGCACAGCGCCATGTACTTCTTTCTCATGAATTTGGCTCTGCAGGACCTGGGCATTGTTTCAGTCATTGTCCCCAAATCCATGACAAATCATGGAAACTAGACAAATCTCTTACTTTGGTTGTATTGCTCAAATCTTTCTCTTCATCTCCTATTGAGCTCCGGATTTCTTCCTCCTGATGGTCATGGCATATGATCAGTACCTTGCATTTACCACTGCACTAATTGTACCTCTATTCAATCCAATTATCTATAGCATAAGAAGTATGAATATCAAATATGTCCTTTCTCAACTGTGGAAATTCTGAAAAAAACCTTTTAATATTGCTTCATATTCTGGTCATCACAATTTTGCATTTTCCTGGCTATTCTTTTAATTCTCTGAATACAGGAATAAGTTAAAAGGAAGACATAGTTGGGATGTAGGAATATCCACCCTTTCAATCCAGAAGAATTGTAAAACTCAAGAAATTACTCAGAAAATGTTCTGCATCCCTAATTGTTGTTAATGCACTTTAGATGTAATTGATTGGAAGCCTCTGACTTGCCAGACAGTGACTTGTTATATTTTCTGTTCGGTGGGGCATTGAAGAGGCAACAGGTCAAAAACTACTTCTTTATTGAAGGTCAAAACAGAAACTAACAATCATTTGCTCCACCCCTGTTTATACATTCAGCCTAGGAGGCGGCAGCCAATAGAAACACAGCATTCTCCCGCTTAAATGCATACTAAGTAAAGCATACTAAGTAGTCTATAGACAGAGAGTCTGGCTGCTAACCGTTCTTACACAGCTCTTAGCAACCAATTTCTCAAATTTAACTCAATACATTACAGACTAATCCTGAGTTTTGGTGAAGTGAGTACTAGGATGTAGTGCAATTGCAGAAAACAAGTGTAATTGTGAAGTAGTTTAAACTATGTGGCTATTTTTCCCTGTGCTTTCTGTATAAAATGGTTTCCCCTACAATGCTTGCACATAATATGACTCGTTAATGCTTCAGCTATTCCAAAAGCACACAAGATTCTATGCTATTCTCTACTTAAATGGTCATTTGCTCACACTCTTTGATATTTAGTTCCTTTGTGACAGTCTTAACTCCTTCAAACAGCCTGGAAAAATCTCTGCATTTTTTTAAAATTTATTTTTTGGGAACAAGGAGTTTGCCACTGCCTCCTTCCAAGAACGGAGAGAATGAATGACTGGCCCAAAGTCATCCATCTGATTTTCTTTTTATAGCAGGACTAGATGTCACTGTTACCTTAAGCACTTAAGCAATCAAAAAGGTTCTCACACATTTTAGCTCAAGAGTATTCCTTCTTTCCCTTAGACATGCTTTAGCTAAATCAGGCACTTGGCATAGTGAGCAGGATGTGTGAGCTGATACTATATACTACTACCAATATCCATATGCAATATAAAAAGCAAGAAGTCTATGTCATAATTGTAAAAAAACATTGTATAAGCTTTCAGTAACATTGCAACATGATATAAATTGGAAGAAATAAGTCATTCTCTATTGTCTAATTTCTGAAGAAATGAGTATAAATAAATGTACATCAGAATGAAAATTGATTAAAATGTGGTTGAGAATGGTTTCATACAAGCTACTGATACACACACACATATATAAATTTTCTTCTATATTTATATTCCTGTATTGAATGTTCCCTTCTTGTTTACTTGCCTTATTTGTGGATATTTGTTGTCCACATTATGCTTTGCAGTTATAGTTACTATTCTGCTGTGCTTTTCACAATAAACATTTACTTAATTTGTGTGGTTATTACATGTATTGAACACTGCAGATCCTTCAAGAGTCTTTCTAATGCTCGCTCCATCTTGAGAGGTCCAGGACTCTGAGATGGGAATCAAAATCTGAGACTTACACAGAGAACAAGAGCTTTGGAGTTATGTAATGATTCTCCACCTCCTTTATTCAGACAAGCAAGAGGGAAAACAAGATGGTTAGCTCAAATGAGATCTAAGCGTTTAGTCTTATTTTAAATATGGAGACATCAAAAGATTTCACTAAATTCAAAATACCATGTTCATTTACATTAGCACTACTCTGCTTCAGAGTTATGGCATATGATTACCCACACTGTAACACAGAATTTTATTCTGAATTAATCAAATAACCATACTTTTTGGGGCTTCTAATGCCATATGGTTTTATTGCATAACTATTAGCAATCAACTAGGTTTCTATGGATTTCCTGGTCTTTCTTTTTTGCCTTAACTTTTGTAACTTGCAGAATTATTTTCTACCTCTGCTTTAATGATGTGGGCATACCTAGCCAATCAAGCTTTCCCCTACCTGTGGCTGGCATAAATAGAAGTTGGGATTTTTTAAAAGCTGGAGGTGAAAGAGAATCAGAAATGATGAAATATGTGCCAGGAAGGTCTTCTCACATGACTCATGTTTCATGTCTCACAATTCACACTGCAGCACCCATTATGTTAACAATATGAAATATTATTATTCTATAGGATTGTGATAACTGGTCCTGGGATAGCTGTTGTGTTCTTAATGGCCAATTATCTTAATATACACACAGGATGGAGTTTTATTTATGTTTGCTAACTATATTAATCAGTTTCATTTTGGTATAAAAGTCTCTTGAGAGAAACACAACAAAAAAGATTAATAAACATTCAGATTAGAAATCTCTATGACTGCAGATAGAGGTTTCACTCCATGAAAATTAGTGGGACAGCATTGACTTGGTAAGATATTTAACACTCTTAACAGCATAGAAGATAATATCTATTGAAACAAATAAGTCAATTATAAATTGAAAATTTAACAGAAAATATATTTCCCTCTTTTGTGGAGCAAATTGGTATTTATTTTAAAATGCCTTATGTGTTGTATCTCAGGGCTGACTTTATAACTTTTTTGAAGGCAGATAATTTAAGAGAATAATTGCATAAGATAGTTTTTGATATAATGGAATAAGTTAAGTTGTTTTAAGGATCACAACAAATGATTTTAATATATTTTTTCAGAAATTGAACCTCAAACAGCAGATTTAAAGACATTATAAAACAAAAGACAACTTGGAGAGATTTCTGTGTAGCTAGTAAACAATGAATTAATTACATATGTAATGATAAAGAATAATGATAAAGAATAAAAGACAATTATAATATCAAACCAGCAGTTAGGTTGTAAGTAGTTCTATCATTTTTTATTTAAAAATATGCCATTAAATACACATTCAATAATGTTGTATATATGTACTAGTTTAAAGGCTTTGTATTCAATTTTTTAACCTAAAATCTGCTAGGGAAATTGAGAAAAAGATGCCTATATCATTTACATAAAGTCTTACAAACACAGACAAATGCAGACTCAGAGAGCAATTATACAAGGAGGAAATTTCTGCTCTCAGGATTTCCAAGTAAAAGACTTGGTAAATTAATTATTTATTTGCTAGATTTACATTGCCTTTCTTCTAGAAGCACAAAGCACCTTACATTGAAATTGTCCAATTTTCCAACAGAACCACAATTCTGTAGGAAAAGTGAGACATTATGATGGGTCCAATTATTCCAAATAGTCTTTCATTGATGAAAATAGTCCTGAGGAGGGTTTTTCTACTCCTAGGCAATTGATCGGTACATGAAGTAACAGAATTAAAAAGAGAAAAAAGGAAAAATGTGAAGTTGGTGATTCGTTCTTTAGTATAATAGTTGGATTGAAATTGAGAATTCCCATCATACATCTGTCTTTCATGCTCAGATTCTCTGTTCATTCCATCCATTTTTACATTTCTTGATGTTTTTTACTCTTAACACATATCAAAATGACAGTTCCCAAATGTTATATAACTACTTCTCTCTCATCTGTTTCCTTGCAGTTAAAGCAGCTTTTTTATAAATGAAACATGGAGAATAAAACCTGAAAATTAGATCAATTGTAGGAAAATTAGTCTTAGCAAAGTAATTTCAAATCTCCCTGGATATGAATAAAAATGATAATATTTGTAAACATTGTTTTATTTTTCAACATTAAAGTATTATTATTGAAAATATTGAAATTGAAAGAAATATTGAGATGTCAGAGTTCATAGTTGTAATAGGCTGCATTTCATTTTGTGGCCAAACTGTCCTGGAGGGAATAAAGGTTTCTACTTGATGGGGAAACTGGTTTTATTTTTTTCTAAATTGAGCTATCATTTTCTTTCTCATTGTTGGAGATGGGGATTTATTTATTCCTTTTGTCAATATCTGATTTCTTTTTTAAAAATATTTTCCAGCGTATTGTATTTATTACGTATAATACTACCTAGTGAATGTCAAGTAAGAGTTATGTTGTAAGTAAAGTTTTCTTTTTCTTCTGTTTAATTATATGTCATTAAATGCATGTTTAGGAATCTGCTGTTTATATATTAGATTTAGAGCTGATTATACTATTTTCTATTTTTTTTCTTTAGTAGATACAAAGGCAACTGAGAGGAATACTTCCATCTGTCTATCACATAAAACACACACAAACAAACACAGGCACACACACACACACACACACACACACACACACATTGCACCAGGAGGCAATATCTACTCTCAAGCTTTCCAAGTAAAAGATACAGCAACTTACTGTTATATTTATTTGGTGTATTTACATTGTTTTTCTTTCAGAAGCACAAAGCACCATACGTAGCACATCCACCAATTTTCCAACACAATAACAATATTATATGACTAGCAACAGATTGTAACTGGTCCAAAGATTCCCAGGAATCTCATATGGCTGAAAGTAGACTTCAACTTGGTTTTCCTAGGTGTAGGCAACCCTTTCGGTTGGGACATGAAATAACCAAACTGGAAGTAGGAAAGAAGGGAAAATATAAGGTTGGTGCTTGATTGTTTAGCATGTGTGGATTACAAATTGATAGAAATTAACAAGGGACAACTTTTCTACTCTAATGTGCCCATCCTACAACTATTCTTTCCATGGTCTGTTTCTCTTTTCATTCTGTTCATGCTTTACACTTTGTTTTCTTTACTGTTCTCACCACATATCGAAATGCCACTTCCCAAATTTTATTTAACTGCATCTCCCTCCTCTTTTTCCTTGCAGTTATGCTCTGCAGCTTTCTGAAGAAACATGGAGAATCAAGCCACAGTGCCTTACTTTTTGCTCCTGGAATTCTCAAAAAATCGCCCTATGCAGCTTTTACATTTCTTCGTGTTTTTTGTTTTATATCTGGCAATTGTAGCAACAAATCTTCCAATCATCTGTGCAGTAGTTTTTGATCATCAATTGCACAGCCCCATGTACTTCTTTCTAATGAATTTGGCTCTACAGGACATAGGCTCTGTTTCAGTGATTGTCCCCAAATCCATGATAAATTCTCTCATGGACACCAGACACATCTCATACTTTGGTTGTGTTGCTCAAGTCTTGATCTTTGTCTCCTTTGAAGCTTCTGATTTATCCCTCCTGACAGTCATGGCATATGACCGACATGTTGCTATTTGCAATCCACTGCATTATGAGATGGTGATGAATTGGAAAGCCTGCATTGAAATAACAATTATAGTGTGGTTTGCAGGTCTTCTATATGGAATGTTGCACACCACTGGAACCTTTTCAATCCTTTTTTGTTCTAATATTGTCAACCAATTTTTCTGTGAAATTCCACAGTTGCTTAAACTATCCTGCTCGGGTTTCAATCTACTTGAGGTTGGAATTCTTATGTCTGGTATCATTGTTGGATTAGGTTGTTTTACTTACATTTTTGTATCTTATGCAGTGATCTTTAGGGCAGTGTTAAGAATCCCTTCTGAACAAGGAAAACAAAAAGCCTTATCCACTTGTCTTCCCCACCTTGTTGTAGTGTCTTTGATAGTATTAACTGGGAGTTTTGCCTATCTGAGATCTCCTGCTGATAGTCCATCTTACTTGGATTTTGGACTGACTGTTCTGTATTTGTTTCTTCCACCCCTGTTCAATCCAATCATTTATAGCATGAGAAATAGGAATATCAAATATGTCCTGTCCAAACTATGGAGATTCTGAAAAAAAAACTCTTTTAAGATTGCTTTTATTCTGATCATCACAATTTTGCATTTTCTATTCCTTTAAATCTCTGAATACAGGAATAAGTTAAAACCGCAGACATAGTTGGGACTCAAGTACATCCAACCTTTAAATCCAGAAGAATTGTAGAAGACAAGAACTTACTTACCAAACATTCTGCATCTCTAATTGTTGTTAAATCACTTTAAATGTGGTTGATTGACAGCCTCTTGATTTTTCGTGAAATGAGTACCAGGATACAGTACAATTGTGCAAAACAAGTGTAATTGTGAAGTTGTTTAAACTATGTGGCCTACTTTTCTCTGTGTTTTCTGAATAAAATGGCTTCCTTTTCAAGGCTTGCATGTAATATGACTAGTTAAGGCTTTGGCTTTTCCAAGAGTTCTCTCCTTAAATGGTCATTTGCTGAAACACTTTGATATTTAGTTTCATTGTGTCAGTCTAAACTCCTTCCAACTGCCTGGAAAAATCTCTGTATTTTCTTGCCAACTTTTTTCAGAAGGAGTTTGCCAGTGGCTCCTTCCTAGGACTGTGAGAATGAGTGACTGGCCCAAGTCAGCCAACTGACTTCATTCCTATAGCATACACATTTTCAAACACAAGGCCCAAATCAGCCCAGATTTGGCCCCTGGGGCCATCCTGGAGATGGCGAGGGACTGGCCCTGCTATCCTGGTCCTTGCCCAGCCCAGAGCTCCCTTAGAACTTGCAAAGAAGGAGGCAAGTAAGTGGGGATTGATGATGTTTGGCAGCAGTCGCAGCCTGCTGGCCCCTTGGCCAGAACACTCTGGGGCTCCACAGCTCATTGTGACCAGCCCTCCAAGCAACAAGTGTAGCGGCAGCACCAGCAGAAAGTGGAGGCAGAGGTGTGTGAGGGAGAGGCGTGTGAACTGCCCTACTGGATGTGCCTGCTCTATCCCACTGTCTCCCTTTGCTTGCTCACTGTGTCCTCAGGCCAAATCTGGGCCTATCAGGGCAAGGCAAAATGGTAGGATGGGGGTGACAGCACATCATGGTCCCTGTGCAGTCAGCCCCTGCCATCCAACCTTATCCTCTAACAAGCACTATGGGAACTCAAGGTCCAGGCTGGGCACCCAGGCCCTAGGCAGCCCATGCTGCCATTCAGGGATCCCCCCTCATGGCCCAAGATGTTTGGTGAGGCTCCTCCAATGAATCAGGCCCAGGTGCTACCCTGGTCCTGTCCCGCTGTGCATGACACCATGGATCCCCCCAGCACCACCTGGGCCCCTACAAGTACCCCTGATGTAAGTGATGTCATGCTGGCCATGCCCACCCCAGCCATGACCACCCAGATAGCTGCAACCAGTGGGCCACAACCACCCTGCCATGCCCACCCAGTTGGTCACAATGACTCCGGTCATGCCTGTATAGCCCCCCAAGGGTAATCACAATGCTGGTGTGGCCCTCAATGAAATTCTGCTATGGCAGAACTAGATGTCACTGTGTCCTGGTTTCTAGTGTGATGCCATAAGCACTACACCAAACAGGTTCTCGCTCATTTTAACTCAAGAGTATTTTTTCTTTCTTTTAGAAGTGCTTTGGCAAAACTAGACCTTTGGCATGGTGGGCAGGATGGGTGAGTTCATACTATTTTCCATAATCTTTTTGTAACCAGAACAATATGAAAAAGTAAGAAGTCAGTTTCATAACTGTAATAGATGATCATATAAGTTTACAGTAGCATGCAACATGAGTTCAATTGGAAGAGATACTAAAAGGCTTATCCAGATTTTGTGTTATCCATGCCACCATCTGTCCAATACATTTTAAAGTTTATTTCAGTAAATGCACATAGGAATGTATATATATATATGGGAAGGTGCCATATGGATACTGAAATCACCTAAATAATATCACTACCTGTTTTTGAGGGGCTTTCAGCTAAAAGAATGACATTTTCTTATATTTATATTCCTGTGTTAAATGCTTCCTTCTTGTTATTGTAGGATGTCAGCACCCCTCCCACAGAATTAAATATTTTGGTAGCATGCAAAATATTAAAAAGGGCAGGATAGAATATTTCACCTAAAGGAGAAATGGAAAAAAGTCTTAACAAAGACAGAAAGCAGCTCCAATTTCCATGCCAAAGGAAAAGAACAGCTTAGAATATTAAAAGGACATGTTCTTGCAGAGGAACAGGCATCTCAAATACAAAGCCCAAAGAAGGTATAAACGCCCACCTAATCTCAACTCCATTTTGTCAGCTGTCCCAAAACTGCATGCTGTTGCTGGTTCTGCTCATCAATAAAAAAAGAATCTCTGTTCCTAAGCAGCTAGCCTCCATTTTATTTCCAGCGTCTTAGTGTACATTTTATTTATCCCCAGCTTGGAACTGGACCGATTTTTCTTTCAACAAATCCAAAACGACAAGGAAGAAATGAGGTTAACCAGAATCATTAAGAACTGGTAGAGCTGAAACATTCTTGAGGTAATCAAGATTTCTAGGAAAGATCCATCTATCCAAAAAAGGAGACTTGTAGTGCCATGAAAGGCTATCTTCTATCCTTTTCATATATTAATGTAAGATCATAGTGCATATATAAAACAACTGAGTATGGCATCACAATACTGATGTACTGACTTTATCAATGTGACCACCCTTGATCCCATATAATAATAGAGTAGCCTTTCTTTTTACTGATTTACAGAAGCATAAGAGTCTTATACTTTATATTATATGCTCTGCCCTTCCAAAGGGATGTTCATTCTTTTTCTCATTTTGCAGTGATGACATATATGTTGAGAAAAATAGTCGAACACTGGGATAATACAAAAACAACAACTGTTTAATAAACTTAGCTTTTGTTGGCTAACTGCTGACATCGTCAGAGTGGAATGCTGGAAGTTCAAAAGCCTGCTTATAAGACCAACTGCTTTTGCGCTCTGCTCATGGAACGCATTACTGGTCTACCCGCCCCCACTAATCATATTGCTTCTAGTTGTCTTGCATCTGTCTGCATATTTGTGAGTTCAGGGATCCTCACATCTCCTGTTGTCGCTCTCTTTGCCCGCTTTGGGCATGGCTTAATACCTGTTGCCATGGGATGGTCTTCCAATGTTTCCTGTCCTATGGTTATCCACCCGTTATGTGTGTAGCACCCACCTCCCATCATTAGTTCCTGCTTGGATCATGTTGGGGATACCTTCCCCTTGCCAGTCATAATTCTTTGCTGTTGCATGAGCCCCTGGTTCTGATCTTGAGTGGGCTGCATCTGTTTCACTCATTGCGAGTTGTTGCACCATTGTTCCCACTTCCTTAATGCTTGATAGGCAGGCAGCAACTCTATATAGCGGTTGATAGAGCACTCGTCAGATAGCCATGCTTCCTTTAGCAACCAGGCACCCTTGGTAACATCTTGAGTGGTGGCCTCTGCCCTGACAAGGTCGAACACATGATTGTTGCTGGCCATATGCACCCACACCTGTGAGCATTGCTCTTGTCATCTGATGGCCAGTTTGTGTTCGTGGATCCTAGTTCTAAGCCGTTTGGTTGTCTCCCCAATATAATTATAGTGACAGTCCTTACACTGCACTGTATTGTGTCTGTAGGCGAAATGGCTATCCAATTGATTTTATCAGACAATATAGCAGATTGCACGAGCCTCGCAAAAGGCAACACACAGATGCTCCTATAACATGGATAACATTACCATATGTCAATGGGGTGTCAGAGGCAACGGCATGCATGATGACTCCATACAACATCAGCATCACCCATAAACCAAATCAAACCTTATGTGCCAAAGTGATGCACTCAAAAGAGCTGCTTTCCAATGAAGAAAGATCTTTGGTGATATATAGAGTACATACATGTATGTGTGTGTGTGTACACTGATTTTCTAAAACAAGTATTTGTAAATCCTTTTCTAAATATTAACCACTGTGTATCTTTCTCTGTGAGATGTTGTATGATTTATATGGATTTATTTTATTATTGTGCTGATTTCTATGATTTATTTTATTATTTATTCTTATAAAAACTATACGTCTCTATGGGCTTACATTGTGTCTCATATTCTGAGTCTTGTTTTAGGTATGTATCAGCTGTCCCATCAGGCAGCCACATGCTCCCCACATGCTCCCATCAGGCAGTCACATGCTCCCCATATGGCTTGCAATACAACAGTACAATAATCATGATTTTTTGGACTACCACACAAATGCCTCCAGGTTCTATTATGTTATTATATAACTATTGGCATTCCTCTAGGTTTCTATGGGTTTCCTGATATTTCCTTTTGGCCTTTCCCCCTTATAACTGGCAGAATTATTATCCACCTCTAGGTATGTGGACATACAGTATCTATCCAAAGTTTAACTACTACCTGTGGCATGCAGAATAGAGATTTTTTTTTTTTTAAAAAAAAGCTGGAAATAAAAGAGAATCACAAATGATGAAATATGTGCCAGGGAGATCTTCTCACTTGATTTTGTTTCACCTCTCACAATTTACACTTGCAGCTCACATTTTGTTAATAATCTGAGATACTATTATTATACAGTATATGATATGATATACTTGTCCTGGAGGAAGATATTGTGTTCTTAATGGCCAATTATGTTAATGAAGTCGGTTTTATTTACATTTGCTAACTATGTTAATAACTATATAGAAGTCAGTTTTATTTTTGGTGTACAAGTCTCTTGTGGGAAACAAAACAAACATTAATGAACATTCAGAATAGAAATCTCTATGACTGCAGATAAATGTTTCACTAGAAAATTAGTGGGACAGCATTTACTTAGTGGTAAGATATTTAACACTCTTAAAATCATAGAAGACATTATCTATAGAGACAAATAAGTTAGCTATAAATTAAAAATTTAACAAAACTTATTTGTCTCTTTTCTGAAGCAAATTGGTATTTATTTCAATATGCCTTATTTTTTTGTATCTCAGGTTTGGCTTTAAAACTTTTTTGCAGGAGGAGAATTTAAGCAAATAATTGCATAAGCTTGT